CCAGAAAATCGCAAATTCTATTAGTGGGCTTGGATCCTCCTGGAGCCCTACAATCATTATCACGTGGCTCATTTAGCTAAGCCTTCTCAGTCCACTTTGGGAGATCGTGGTGGGCCTGATCAGTCCACAATAACTGGGTGTGTGAAGACAAACCTGGAATAAAAGATGTTATGAAAAAGAGTACCCAAAAATTATTTTTAAAATGAAAACAAAACAAAAAAACAAACCCAGAATGGAAAGGATTTATATTCAGCCCATATTTTCTCTCTCTATACAAAAACAGAGAAATAGTAGCGGTAGGAAATTATAGTAATAAAATCAGGGCTACAATTTGGTACTAGTTGGGATCAACTGGAGTAATAATCTGCCTTTTCCCTTTGGAAATAGGCCAGGATAAAACACGACGGGCCATCTGCCTCCCCAGAGCACGGTCACGAGCCCAGGAAGTTCCAGCATGCCCCTCGCTCCGCACCGGCTCGGGGTGATGCTGGTTCTCAGGCGACGTCAGAGCAGATCTGGGATCGGACCCCGAGAGCAGCCCTGCTCGCACCACCGGGGACCCCGTGGGAGTCCGCAGCAGCGACGAGCAGCCTTGTCATCACCGTGCTTGGTTCACTCACTTGGTGACAAGTCACTTGTATGAAACCCTGACTCTACTAGACCAGAACTATTTTGTTAGTAGAGGCTGCCCGCTGTCCAGTTCTTTCTTTAGTCTGATTTGCTTTTTTTTTTTTTTTTTTTCCATTTATGTAATTGGTACAGGATTTTACTACGCAGCTTGGACTTGCAGCGACCCTCCTCTCTTCAGCCTCCCCAGTCCTGGGATTACAGGTGTGCACCACCACGCCCAGCCTCTGTTGCCGGCTCAGTGTGCCCCAGGGGCAGGGCCAGCGCGGCATGCGGGACCCGGGACGGAACCCCCGTCCCTGCTTGTACCAAAGAGGGCGCTGTAGTCCGCTGAGCTATCTTGCCAGCCCTGACTTGTTTTTGATGAGCTCTAAGCCACAATGAAGAGTCATCAGTAAACATTTAGAATCACCACTGCCAACTCTTACAGTTGCAAATTCAAACCTTTTTCCTTACAAATGGAAATGAGATCCTGGAAAGCTAAACTGGCTCGCCAAAGCCATCTAATTCATCAGGACTTGAGCCTTCGGCTGTATTCTGCCCATAGTGTTAGCTCCGTTCCCGTTGAGATTCATGGCAAATCAAGACCTCCAGAAGATTACTTTCTTTGGAACTGTTCTCCCACCATGTAGTGAGTAAAAATGGCTACGTCCCTTCCTCGGAGAGGCCGGGCTCCACAGACCAGGCACAGGCCACCAGTAGGTTGGTGCCTCAATCCTGATCATGCACCCAAACTTGTTTCCTATCAGGCAAGTCATTTTCCATATACTTTCCCACAACGCTAGGAAAAAAATAGGCATACTGTATTTCACATGGAAACCTAATTTAAACCAACTGTTCCATCCCTGTGTGAGTCCCCAAGGGGCTCTTGTCGTGGAGATTATGTAAGCAATGCTATTACACACACACACACACACACACACACACACACACACGCACGCACGCACACCATCTGCTTACAAACTTCAGGGATAGTTCTTATGACATAACATAGTCAAAATTATATAGACATTAAGCAGTGAAAATGTCATTGATCAGACAAAATAAGTGACAAATAAGATGAAAAAGAGACAAATGTCAAAATGTAGCCCAAAGGATAAATGGTGGACATATTTACTAAGTGGAAAATGAGATGTGTTGCCAATTCAGAAGGAATTTGAGGACACTGAGGTCACAAAGAAAAAAGTTGCATAAAGTACTGCTATGGTTAAGATTTAAAATGCTCCCCCAAGGCCCGTATATGTAGAGGTAGAGCTTTGGGAGGTGATTGGGTCATGGGGTGCTGTACCTACCGATGGACTAATCCATTGCTGAGCTCAATGTGCTGGTAGGAGGCGGGGCCAAGGTGGAGGTGAGTCACTGAGCAAGAGTGACGCAAAAGAGTATATTCTTGTTCCTCTCTCCTTTCTCTGCCTCCTGGCTGCCATGGCTGAGCAATTTTCTTCCTCTGTGCTCTTCCTCCTCGCTGCCTCTGCCTAGAGCCAGCCACCCACAGACTAATCCTCTGAAACGTGAGCTGAGCTAAGCATTTCTTCCTGCAAGTCTCTGATAATTTGACACAGTGCTGGGAAAGTGACTAATACAGAAAATGGGTTCAGAGAGTGGCGCTGTGTCTATGACTGTACCTAACCATATGACTCAGAAGCCTTCAGAACTTCTCTGTGGGAAGAGTTTGGAAAAGCTTAAATAAGTGTGTTAGAGGAAGCTGAGGTAGCTATGCGCAAAGCTTGATGGGTGGTTGTGGTGGCCGCTCAGAAGACCAGGATGCTGGTAGGAATGCCAGTGGTAAGGGAGGAGCTCTGGTGGTTTCAGATGGGAAGAACAAAGACTTTATTGAAAACTAGACTAGAGGCCATGCAGTATTTTGGCAAATAATTTGTATATGTTTTGTCTATATCCTAAGACTTCGTGAGGCTAAATTTATTTTTTTATTTTTTATTTATTTTTATATATTTAGTACAGGGTCTACAGAGTCTCACTACATAGACTGGACTCATAGTGATTCTCCTGTTTTCAGCCTCCCAAGCTGGGATTACAGGGGCACGCCACCATATCTAGTCTCAATCCCCATCTCAACACACCTCGGGGGTGGGACCAGCATGGCATCATTTAGTCATTAGTGGACTAAGTGATTTGGTGGAGGAAATTTCAAGGCAGCCCAATGTTCAGTCTATAGCGTAGGTACTGGTAGCTGCTTTTAGAAAGATAAATAGTAAGAAGTAGGAACAAAAAGTAGAGCTGAAATTTTTTATACAATTTGCAGTTTCATCAGAAAAGAAACACCTGTAAAATTGGAGCCAAGAAGAACTTGGTTTCTGAAAAGATTAGGACTTGAAAAATCTAAATACGTGGCATGAGGACAATAGGGAAGGTGTATTGAAGATATCTTAATTATTGACCACACCCCTCTCTCTATCGGCTCGAGGGCATAAAAGGGTAAATTTTTGGAAAGATTTTGTTTTGGGAAGAGAGCCCTGCTCATGCAGCGATGCTCAGGAAGTGTTTCTCTGAGTTTAGGTGTCCAGGCAAGCAAAGGTCATCACAGTATGGTCCAAGGGTGCCAGGCTACTGCTTGAGCTAGTGGCATAGCTCAGTGTCACCCACATGGTGCTGATTTTCCAAGCATGCAGAATGTGAGAGCTATGTGGTCACAGACAGTTCCACTCAGACCTCAGAAGAAGGCCGAGGAGGCCAGGAAATGTGTGTGGCACGGATGTGGTCCCTCAAAGGAGCCTCTGATACTTAAGGCTATGATGGTGCAGCCCAAGGAGCAGTGGAGACCCGAGGAAGCTGGAAATGCCGGAAGAGCAGAATGCCTGGTCACAGTCAGTGAGCAGACCAGGCTGAGAAGGAGGCCACATGGATTACAACTGGCAAGGCCTTGCTGGAGGCGGCCCAAGTCCTTTTAAGCCTACATCGGACCACAGTCTACCCTGGGTGATGGAGCCACAGAATTTAATGTTTGGAGCTTTGCTTCAGTTTGCTTGAATACATTCCTATTTTCCTATTCCTCCATTTGGAATGGGAATGTTTTCCCTGTGCCACTGTGTGTTGAAAGTATTTAAAGTAAAATATTTTTATGGAGGCTCACAACTAATAGTCTGCCTCATGTCGCAAAGAAGACTTGGGACATGAACTTTTCAGCAATGCGGGAATTGTTATGATTTTAGCCATACTTAGGGAGGGACTAAGCACATTCTGTATAAAGAGACGGACATGAGCCCTTTGAAAGCCTGAGGTGGAGTGCTGCGGGTTAGATCTAAAGTGTTCCCCCGAAGTCAGTCATATA